ACCACAGATCTGGTAAATTCGGCAACTGAACACACACGTAAATACAAGAGGGTGAAACGTAGTGATATTGTCAACTTAGTCTTCCCTATCGACGAAGTCAGTTGATGATATACATGGGAGATGGCGCTGATAGGTTTAAAACGGAGGAATGAGAATTACTTGTATATAGTGTAAGCTAACTTTGGGAGATGACGAAGAACTATTGCAGGAGCATCAATAATCAGAATATTAATATGTCAAGTATCGTAAGAACATCGTCAATCAATCGAACAAGAGTGACAGTTGCAGATGTGTTCAGTTGACTGTGTCCAGTTGCACCCATCCCGCCATGGTATGACTACATTGTTGGACAAAATTGTAGCATTTAGAGAATCGTCTATGACAATTTTCTTCCTCTCTTCTCCATTTTCCAAGATTTCCACAAATAAGACATATTTGTCATGTTTGACTGCTGCTCAATTGGAGGGTCTCTTGACCATTTTCAAATCCTTATGTAAATCATTAAAATTAAATATCACACTAGTTACATTCTCCATAAGTTGAGAAAATATAACATTGATAATTACAATTAATCCTCAACATATAATGGTTTGTAAAATTTTAATATACAATTAAATCTCAGATATTATATACAATTAATCATCAAATTCACTATTTGCAATTAATTTATCATTCATAAATAATTTTATGTACAATTGTAGAAATCACCCGAAATCCTAGGCGATTGATGTCGATTCAATTATGCTCCTGGTCATGATAGATCTCTTTTTGATTGATATCATTAGACTGACTGACTGACTGATATCACTGACTGACATTCTAGTGACCTCTCCAGACTCCAACTAAGGAAATAACAGACAAATATCATGATTACATTGTTCTGAACTTATAAGCATTCAACATTTTATTTACGATAATCAACACTAACCTAGAAATACGTCAGACATCTCAGTTTTTATAGTTGACTTGTACAGAAAATGCTTCCCCCTTCCGTGGAAGTCATTGCCTATATGTAATCAAATTTTCGCGATATTCAATCACTCATCAAAGTAGTTCGTATAAACATGAATAAACATTTTAAGGCCAGGAATTATTCAGTACGTTATTTTCATACACCTACACACTACACAGGCAGCATTCCCCCACTACTGAAAAGCGATTGAAGCACCACCTATAACACTTCATTACCCCGAGTATGGTCTCGGATCGGAAAACGCTAGTTCGGCCTCCTGGTCTCTATTCTTCATCTTCGGCCTCCTGGTCTCTATTCTTCATGGTTAAACCTCACAACGTACAGTGATAGAACGAGTGGCACTGTCTTACCACGGCACTAGGAGAAGGATGACGTCATGGATGAGTCATCGACTCGCATGGTGGGGGAATCGTCCTGGTGAGAAATGTTATGATCGCTCGTCAGAAACATCATATTTGATGTATTATGATGTGAACAATGTTTATGGGGCCGCTATGAGTATCAGTTTGCCATGTGATTCATTTGAATGGGCTGCAACTGGTTCTGTAGATATTTTAATTGCTGCAGATGATTCTCCAGTCGGATATATTCTTGAAGTCGATTTGGAATATCGTCAAGAATTGCATGAACTATATAAAGATGTTCCGCTCTGTCCCGAATATTTCACCCGTCCAGAGAGCAAACATACTAAATTAGCGACCACCCTCTTCCCGAAAGAAAAGTATGTGATACATTACGTAAACTTGAAGGAATACACAGCTCTTGGTATAAAACTAAAGCATATTCATCTTGTTTTGAAATTCAACATATGGAACAAAAGCATTGATAGCAAAATCCAATTTCCATAGCTGTATGGTGTTTGATGATAATGAATGAATGGAACATCCGTATATTTCAAGAAACCTATCCATATTGGATTTATGATCCTCGATTTATCAAAAACGATTACATATAACTTCTATCAGAACTACGTTAAGGGTGAATTTGAAGATTCAGCAAAACTCATATATACCGATGCAGATAGCTTACTCTATCTGTTTTAAGTACCAAATATCTATGAGTCTATAAAACAAGACCCACATGTCCGATACATCTGACTATAAAGAGAATAATGAGTATAGAATGCCGCTCGCAAACAAGAAAGTATTAGGACTCATGAAGGACGAGAATAATGGTCGAATTACGGTT